GTATAAAACTGCAAAGGGGATGCATACATATTAATGAAGGACCAGAGGTGTAGCACCCTTGGTGTGATCAGTTAGCGTTACTGTGTACCACGACAGGATAATCAGCATTTTTACTTCATTTTATTCTTTATTTATAGTTATTTTCTCAGCTAAAGGCATCATCTAGTGAGCGCACGTTGGCTGTAGAGCTGCTTTGTGTTGCTGAGTCAATGTAATATGATGCCTAGATAGAGCACAGTGCCACCAGTCACACAAGTAAGTGTGTGTGTGTTTATTAGTTAAATCCATTTTCACTGTCTCATAAGATCTGCCAGAGCAGCAGACGCATTAAAGCTGTCCTAAAGACTCAAGGCTGTGGAACAGGCAGTAGTTACATTTATTCATTGTACTATTTCTGCTCATCCCATCTTATTCTTTTCTTTTGACTCTTCATCCCATTGCTCTTTAAGGCTGCCACTTCTGTCCTCTGCCATCATTTTAGTTTAGTTACTTGGCAGCATTACAAAGTAAGTTTCTTGGCTGAATGTTTCACTCAAAACTAATTAAAGTTGAGAACTATTGAAACTCTGCTTTTATAAAACTATGAAACATTCTACATACATATTATAGCTACTTCTACATGAAAATGTTAAAATATGACAGATCCGAGACACATTTTTGTTTGTTTGGCACACGACCATCCTTGCTTAAATTGAAGTAGCTGTCATTTTTTGCAGAGATGATGTTAAACGTTTCAGTATGCATGATGCAATGGTAATGGGGCTGTCTTTATATAGCACCTTCTAGAGTCCTACAACAAGGATTGCCTAATCCTACGACAAACCAAATATTCACCAGTACACACACACACACACACACATTCACCTGATATATGATGTTAGGAAATAATTTAGTTTTTCTTCTTTTTATGAGAGGGAATCCCTGCATATTTCAGTATTAGCTTATGTCAGTATCTGAAATAAAGAAATGGACTATATTGGTACATCGGATATCAAACACCTTATACGTTAGGGATGTGTGGTGGTGAAATTCTGGTGATACGATACGTATCACGATACAGGGGAGATGATACAATGTAACACGACATATTGTGATAAATTCAGTCAGACGAAATTAGCGATTTATTTTTTTGACTGAATTTTTTTTGGGATTATTCAATTAATATTGCAAACTAGGAATGTAAGAAAATATTTGTATGGCAACATATTGTGATTTTTTCCAGCGATATTATATTGATAATCAAAAACTGTGTATCAAAATTGTTTATATGGCAATATATAGTGATATTTTGCCTGCGAAATTACTTATTGGAAGAATTTGCACGCAAACAGTTGTGTATTTTCTTTTCTTTTGGTGCAATTCAAATGCCGACCGCTAGTTGGCAGCAGTGGGTTTTGTTTCCACGATTGAATTGTAAATCCCTCTAATGGTTCAGAAACCTCATGTTAAACATGTCAAGTATCAGTTTGGACTGTTTATTGAATATTCCTACAATAATTTCAGTCAAAAAAATCGCTAATAACGTCTGACTGAATGTATCATGTATATTGTGATACATTGTATTGTGTCCCCTGTATCGTGATACGTATCGTATCACCAGAATTTCACCAATACACATCCCTAGTCCAAACTGATACTTAACATGTTTAACAGGAGGTATCTGAACCATAATTGATGGATTTACATTTAAAAACTCACTGTGCACTGCTGCCAACTAGCGGTTGATGTTTGAATTACATTAAAAAAAGAAGAAAATACACAAATATTTGAATGTAGATTCTTCCAAAAATTGGATACATGGGTTTTGAATATTGATGTAATATTGCAGGAATGCATATCACAATATACTGCCAAATCATTATTTTTCTTACATCCGTACTATATTTGTATATGTATGTATGTATGTACTGCATGTATGTGTGTGTGTGTGTGTGTGTGTGTGTGTGTGTGTGTGTGTGTAGTACGTTATTCTAGGAGGGACACAAAAGGGTGTGAAAATAGGAGAGTGTAGTGTTCTGTTGGAATGAGGCCATCATTGCCCAAGGCAAGGACAGTTCAAATCCATTTACTCCTAATGTATTATTAAAGCTTTTTAGGTCTTGTTAAAAAGGCGTCACACCAAATAAGGCACTGAATGTGCCGTGATTTTGGCTGTTCAGGTTTTAGTTGAATTCAGCTTTCCAAAAATTCTCCTTCGGGTTGTACGGTTTTTATTTTTAAAAGAGAAAGTAAGACCGTTCATTAAAATATTTCCAGTTTTATTTTTCTTCATTATTTTTCAAACTGGCATTTTAAAACGACATATACTAAAAACCTTTGGAGTCTATAGAACTAGAAAACAAATGTTTGATTTACAAAGATGCAGTTATTGTTATGGATCAATTTATGCATCTTAGTAGTTGGAAAAAATACACGTACACGGTTAGGTTTAACATGAATAATAATCTTTAAAAACACCTCTTATAATCTTTCCAAATTGAAGTCATGTAAACGTATAATCCAAAGAGTATCCATGACTTTTTCTTCATTTAGAGCCTGTGCCATCTGTTTGAGACATTTCTAGTCCTGAAATAATTTTACACCTTCTTTTCAGTCCAACAATAACATTAGAAATCCAACATTGGTTCCTTTTCTACTCGTGTATTATCTCACATTTAATTAAAAAATCTAACTCATCTGTCCAACACTTTCACGTTCCATCTGCGTCCTTACAACAGCCTTGCTCGTGTAAGCGACATGCTCTGCCGTTTCTCCCGAGGCCTCATTTTTATGGCCTCAGCTTGCAGCAATGCAAATGAAGAATTAGCACGCATGGATGCACCTTCCTTTGCGATTGAGGCAAATTTTTCAGAGTGCAAGCTGCAGTGGCAGAGGGCTCCTGCTCCATGAAGACAAAGACCTGGGATCACAGGCTCCATCTGTCATGCAGACCGTTGGCATTCTTTAAAGGGCAGAGGACTTAGCGGAGGTCCCGGATAATTGAAGTTTGGGAATTTGTGAGCCCCTTGACAAATAAGCCACTAAAGGTGCTTAGTTATACATTCACTATTTTAGCCCCATTCATCTTTTAATGTTGTGCTGAAGACAGAAGAACCAGAACGTTTATGATATAATCAGTCCTTATACTGTTGCTGTACTAATCTTCTGTTGCATATGTAGTATTTCATTAAAAATAGACGTTTTTGTTTTAATTGGACAGTAGGCATCATCATGGTTTATAACTGGATTATGATTAAAAAATCTGAAAGCAAATTAACTTCCACTCAATTGCAAAATAGACCTGAAGCCAATTAGCTTACACTGCAGCCACTGTTATGATCGATGTAGGACTTAAGCGAGCATTTGCTAACCTAAACTTTTTATTTGCAATAATGCATTTTGGACATCTTTTCACTTCCACTTATTCCAGTATAAATATTTAACCAAAATAAGTAAAGTGTGATTAATTATTAGTGATCCTGCTAGTTGTGTGATTTTACAGTTTCTCTTCTAATGAAATAATAACTGCAACTGAATATTTCTACAGCACCTAAGAGCCAGAATCATTTAAGCCCATTTTTAATATCATAAATTTTAAATGCATATCTTAACTCAAATGTTTTAATCATGGACATTTGGGCAGTTTCTAGGCTAAAACAGTTGATTGTTATTATTATTTATTGTATACGGTGTAAACGACACCTTCCCAATTATAACAAGCTTAAAAATGTCAAACATATTAAATTGCGATCGACTGTTTTCACACAAAATTAAATTATAAATGTCCTCTAATTAATTAATCTTCTGTGTCTCAAAAGTTCCTGCTGCTCACGTTTCAGATCACCAGACTTTTAGACTATTTAATTATCCCATTTGTAATATAATTTGAGTTAGATTTAGGATTTCACTCCTAAAATAAAGTAGTTTAAATCATACTGCGTTGGCTTCTTCTTTTCAACTCTCACAGATTTATTTTACATGCTTGTAAAGTGAAGCCGCTTGTCCTCCCCAGTTGTAGCTCATTGTTCCTCATCTTGGAGACATATATTCAGGGGGCTGATTTTGTTTGGGGGGGTAAAAGAGAAAACAAGTCATTTCTCTCCAATTAGACGTTAACGAACTCCCTCTGTCTTATTCACAATGAAGGATGTGCAAGTTTCTGTCCTCATACGGAGAGAGTAATTTGAAAGTGTTACCTCTTGCTCTTGGTTTAATGGGCAATTTGGAGAATCTGATTGCTTGCGGAGACATGGCAAATACATAATAAAACTTTGGGCCCTGAGGGGCAGCAGCTCTGCCAACCTTGGTAAAGACGACGATTCCTTGCTTCACTGGAGAAAGGGGAGGTCGTCGGAAAGCAGATGAAAAGCAAGGAAAGTGAAGGAATAAGGTTCTGCTGTAGGGGGAAGAAGGGAGAGAGCAGATGATGTCTGCACGGAGAGATTTATAAAATATTAGGGAAAAGAAATCATGACAATGTCATGACAGCGGCTTCGTTCAAGGTGGTGCCATATAAAACAGAGGGGCTGCTGGGAGTCTTAATGTAATGAGGTGATTTAACGTAATGAGTCGGCTAAAGAGAATCTCACTAGGGAACAGGAAAGGGAATTTAAGAGGTGTCTTGGTGAACAGTTCAGCCATCTAGAAAGCCCAACAGATGGTTTCCCGTGGAAGAAAATGCTTCGGAAATCTTTTATCTACAGATGTGAGTCCTGGGGTTTGCTATCAGGGAATCTGCTGGTTGCTATCAATTAGTTACTGCATGACAGAAACCTGTGGGCTTGCTGAACGAAAAACAGACATGAATGGAAATAATTATTACTTTTGATGTCTTACTCTTGAATTAGTGTTTGTCTTTGTGATTGAATCCTGTGCTGGCATTTGTTTTGGTGTAGTTTTTCCACATGTGTTTTCTTTCTGTTACTTAGATTAAAAAAGCCTCATCTGCTCCATTTAAATTCCCCATCTTAGTCATTGTCTCTTTCTTCTTCTCTATTTTGTGTTTAATTTACATGTAACAGATGTCCACAGAGGAACTAGAAGAATACGTGAACAGTCAATTTGAAGAGCTCCATCGACTGGTTCGTCTGGAGGAGAAGAGAACCCTTCACCTGGTCGACCTCAAAGAAGCATTCCTCACGGCTTCTGCAGCTGAGAAAATAGCTGAGATCACTGCTGAAACAGAAAAACTGCAGGAAGAGATGGACAGCATCACACACCAGCTGTGCCTGCTGGAACAGGCGGAAACGGCTGGGCCTGCAGTGGCAGCAGAGGTTCTTGTAGCAGCTCCTGGACCAGCCCACAGACTGCTGGTGAGACAATCTTCTGTCCCTTTTTTTTACCAACATATTGGGTTTTACTAAATACACATTTTAGTAACAGAAGCCATGGTAACCTGAAAATTAGCACGTCATAGTTTATTTAGCATTAAGGAAGCTAAAACTACAGATTAAAAGCTTGGTACTACACTTTTCATTCTGGACTGATGAAGCTCTTCAGATGAGAAGTGAAACATTTTCAAGAGTATCGAGTCACTTTTGATTGAATTGACTTGAATCCAAAATGACGAATATATATATGGGTAGTGCTGCTAACAGTGCCAAAATCTCCTGCAAGATTCCACTTTCCTACTAGCTTAGAAATCTCGACAGAAGCTAAATGATTTAGCGCTGTTGGTCAGTCTAGCCACGCTCCATTGAAGTCTCAGCAGGTCTTAACAATCTTGTGTCTTACTAATCACAATCTATCGGTTTGGTGGGCCAATCGCAGCGCTCCGTTGGTTTAGTGGGCCAGTCATATCAATCTTTCGGGTTGGTGTGCAGGATGTTTATGTATTTAGCAGACGCTTTTGTCCAAAGCGACTTACAAGTGATAATCGGCATGTTGCCCTTGAGGCTAACAACAACAAGAACAACAACAACAAACAATTTTCAGTCAGTCGTAGGTGGCAGTGAGGCAGCATGATGAATCATGGAGAGGAGGGAACAAGGAGTGGACAGTAGAGAGGGGGACGGGTGCAGGGAGGGTGCTAGTTTAGAAGATGCTCTCTGAAGAGCAGGGTCTTCAGGAGTTTCTTGAAAATTGAAAAGGAAGCCCCTGTTCTGGTAGTGCCTGGAAGGTCATTCCACATTTGTGGAACGATGCATGAGAAGAGTTTGGATTGTCCTGAGCGTGGTGTAGGCACTGCTAGCCGACGATCCTGTGATGACCGGAGCGGCCGGGCCATCTCTGTTACTGCGAATGAGCAAAACAGCAAAGAGGGCGGCGGCTCGTTTGAAACTGCTTTGGCATCAACTTTGGACTATTTAGTCTTGGGCTTTTCTTTGAGTCAACAGCAGATAGAGATACCTAAAGGGAACAAAGAATGTAAACCAACATTTTCTTTTTGCTTGTGAATAAAGACAGCTTGGCTGGTCAAAAGTAGCATTCCAAAAAGTCAAAGCTGTGTGTGACCTACTTTTTATGTAAATTAGAAACTTTAAAAATGCCTGAGAAAAACATATTTTCTGAGAAACCTCTCATAAAAACGTCACAATGTGGAGCCCTTCCTCCTCCAATCTGCAGTCTGCAGTGTCTGAGACCTTGTGGTTTAAACCAACCAATCAGCAAGCAGCTCATTAGCATATTCTTGTCCTGGCCAAGTGGGAGGGGTAAACAGCTCTTTCCACAGCAAGGCTGATTTAGTGGGTTTAGAATGGCCTGTATCAGGGCTCCTGGGACAGACGAAAGCCAAAAGAAAATGTCTTATGCTTCTTAGAAATTCAAAGCAGTGGTTTAGATTGCCTCCTCCTTGAACCGTCACCTTATCGTGGTGGAGGAGTTTGAGTGCCCTAATGATCCTAGGAGCTATGTTGTCTGGGGCACTTAGTGCCCCTGGTAGGGTCTCCCATGACAAATTGGTCTTAGGTGAAGGGTGAGACAAAGAACGGTTCGAAGGATCTTTCATGGCGGTGAAAACGAAGAGTCGGAGTACCCGGCCCGGAGGGTTACCGGGGTCCCACCCTGGAGCCAGGCCTGGGGTTGGGGCCCGTGAGCGAGCGCCTGGTGGCCGGGCTTTCGCCCATGGGGCCCGGCCGGGCCCAGCCCGAACCGGATACATGGGCTCGTCCAACTGTGGACCCACCACCCGCAGGAGGAACATGAAGGGTCCGGTGCAATGTGAATCGGGTGGCAGACCAAGGCGGGAGCCTTGGCGGTCCAATCCCCGGACAAGAAAACTAGTTTTTGGGACATGGAACGTCACCTCGCTGGTGGGGAAGGAGCCGGAGCTTGTGGCAGAGGTTGAGCGGTACCGGCTAGATATAGTCGGACTCACCTCGACACATTGCATTGGCTCTGGAACCCGAGACCTGGAGAGGGGTTGGACACTCTACTTTGCTGGAGTTGCTCCGGGTGAGAGGCGGAGGGCTGGGGTTGGCTTTTTGTTAGCCCCGAGATTCTCTGCCTGTGTGTTGGGGTTTACCCCGGGGGACAAGAGGGTAGCTTCCTTGCGCCTTCGGGTCGGGGAACGGGTCCTGACTGTTGTTTGTGCTTATGGGCCAAATATCAGTTCAGAGTACCCACCCTTTTTGGAGTCCCTGGGACGAGTGCTAGATAGTGCTCCATCAGGGGACTCCATTGTCCTGCTGGGGGACTTCAATGCTCACGTGGGCAATGACAGCTTGACCTGGAGGGGTGTGATTGGGAGGAACGGCCCACCTGATCAGAACTCGAGCGGTGTTTTGTTATTGGACTTCTGTGCAAGCCGCAGTTTGGCCATAACGAACACCATGTTCGAACATAAGGATGCCCACCGGTACACTTGGTACCAGGGCAGCCTAGGTCACAGGTCGATGATAGATTTTGTAGTCGTATCATCTGACCTGCGGCCGTATGTTTTGGACACCCGAGTGAAGAGAGGGGCGGAGCTGTCAACTGATCACCACCTGGTGGTGAGTTGGATCAGATGGCAAGGGAACATGCTGCGTAGACCTGGCAGACCCAAACGCATAGTGAGGGTCTGCTGGGAACGCCTGGCAGAAGAACCTGTCAAGACGGTCTTCAACTCCCACCTCCGGCAGAGCTTTGACCACGTCCCGAGAGCAGTGGGGGACATTGAGTCCGAGTGGGCCTTGTTCCACTCTGCGATTGTCGAGGCGGCTGTTGCTAGCTGTGGTCGTAAGGTGGCCGGTGCCAGTCGTGGTGGCAACCCCCGTACCCGCTGGTGGACACCAGAGGTTCGGGGAGCCGTCAGGCTGAAGAAGGAGGCCTACAGGGCGTGGCTGGTCTGTGGGTCTCCGGAGGCAGCAGACAGGTACCGGATAGCCAAGCGGGGTGCAGCAGTGGCAGTTGCCGAGGCAAAATCTCGGGCGTGGGAGGAGTTTGGTGAGGCCATGGAGAAAGACTATCGATCGGCTCCAAAGAGGTTCTGGCAAACTGTCCGGCGCCTCAGGAGAGGAAGGCAGCAACTCGCTCACACTGTTTACAGTGGGGATGGGGAGCTGCTGACGTCAACTGAGGCTATAGTCGGACGGTGGAAGGAATACTTTGAGGAGCTCCTCAATCCCACCAATGCGCATTCCGAGGAGGAACCAGAGCTGGGAGGCCTGGGGATGGACTGTCCGATCTCGGGGGCAGAAGTTGCTGAGGTAGTCAAACAACTACACAGCGGCGGAGCCCCGGGGGCGGATGAGGTTCGTCCTGGGTATCTCAAGGCTATGGATGTTGTAGGGCTGTCATGGTTGACACGTCTCTACAACATTGCGTGGTCATCGGGGGCAGTTCCTATGGAGTGGCAGACCGGGGTGGTGGTCCCCATCTTTAAGAAGGGTGACCTGAGGGTGTGTTCCAACTATAGGGGGATCACACTCCTCAGCCTCCCTGGAAAGGTCTACGCCAAGGTACTGGAGAGGAGGGTCCGATCGATAGTTGAATCTCAGATAGAGGAGGAGCAATGTGGTTTTCGTCCTGGCCGTGGAACTGTGGACCAGCTCTATACCCTTGCAAGGGTGATGGAGGGGGCATGGGAGTTTGCCCAACCAATCCACATGTGCTTTGTGGATTTGGAGAAGGCTTATGACCGTGTCCCCAGGGGCACCCTGTGGGGGACGCTCCAGGAGTATGGGGTGGGTGGCTTTCTGTTAAGGGCCATTCAGTCCCTTTACCAGAGGAGCGTGAGTTTGGTCCGCATAGCCGGTAGTAAGTCGGACCTGTTCCCAGTGAGGGTTGGACTCCGCCAGGGCTGCCCTTTGTCACCGGTTCTGTTCATCACTTTTATGGACAGAATTTCTAGACGCAGCCGTGGTGTGGAGTGTGTCGAGTTTGGTGGCAGGAGAATCTCGTCTCTGCTTTTTGCGGATGATGTGGTCCTCCTAGCTTCATCCAGCTCTGACCTTCAGCTCTTGCTGGGTAGGTTCGCGGCCGAATGTGAAGCGGCTGGGATGAGGATCAGCACCTCCAAATCTGAGACCATGGTTCTCGACCGGAAAAGGGTGGCTTGCCACCTCCGGGTCGGGGGAGAGGTCCTACCTCAAGTGGAGGAGTTTAAGTATCTCGGGGTCTTGTTCACGAGTGAGGGTAGGAGGGATCGGGAGATCGACAGGCGGATTGGTTCGGCGTCTGCAGTGATGCGGACGCTGAGCCGATCTGTCGTGGGGAAGAGGGAGCTGAGCCAGAAAGCCAGGCTCTCGATTTACCGGTCGATCTACGTCCCAATCCTCACCTATGGTCATGAGCTTTGGGTAATGACCGAAAGAACGAGATCGCGGATACAAGCGGCCGAAATGAGTTTCCTCCGTAGGGTGGCCGGGCTCAGCCTTAGAGATAGGGTGAGGAGCTCGGACATTCGGGAGGGACTCGGAGTAGAACCGCTGCTCCTCCGGATCGAAAGGAGCCAGTTGAGGTGGTTTGGGCATCTGGTCAGGATGCCTCCTGGACGCCTCCCCGGGGAGGTGTTTCGGGCATGTCCTGCCGGCAGAAGGCCCCCGGGTCGACCCAGGACACGTTGGAGAAGTTACATCTCCAATCTGGTCCGGGAACGCCTTGGGGTCCTGCCGGAGGAGCTGGTGGACAAGGCCGGGGAGAGGACGGCCTGGAGCTCCCTAGTTGGGATGCTGCCCCCGCGACCCGGACCCGGATAAGCGGAGGAAGACGACGACGACGACGGTTTAGATTGCTGATAAACTGCATTCTTTGTCCCCTTTAAGTCTTTTATTTAGAAAAAGGATGTATTTGCGTCTTCTTTAATGGAGCATGGAGTACTGCCCTGTTGACTGACATCTGTAACAATAAATGCTTCATGTTGTTCATTGTCCAATAGATGTGCAGACAGTTT